TTGCATTCATTATGATATGAGAATGCTTAACATTGTTCAGTGGATGTTCTTTTAACTCAGTGACAAAAGAAAGTTATGCAATAACAGCAACGATTTTTTTTCCTTGTTATTCAACAAATGTATATTGAATTTTTGTCTCTCATTATGTGCCTATTATGGTGCATAAAAGATATTGAGAAATTTTTATCGGCAGTATATTGTTTTTTTTTGGTAAGCTCAGTATATTATTCATTAAACATGTTTATCATCAACGTATTACTAGTGCTATGATTAAAGAGTAAATACTATTTTTGATTCTCAGCAAATTTTACGATGCCCGCTTTAGTCCCTAGCAAATAAAAAGGTTATTCGTGGTTCCAAAAAAATTCAAAGTGGACCCATTTTAGTCCTTTTGAGGGACTAATGTGGGTCTTTTTTGAATTTGTGAGGGATCACGATTTTAACTAAATGGGTCCATTTTGAATTTCTTAGGGACCACGGATAGCCTTTTTATTTGCTAGGGACTAAAGCGGTATCGTGAAATTTGCTGAGAACCAAAAAGGGTATTTACTCATGATTAAATAAAAAATAAAATAAAATGTAACACATCATTAGAGACGACAAGCACAACCATAAATCATCAGTTAATAATAAAGAAGAATAGCATAAGGAGGAATGCCAAAACCAAAGAAAATATATGAGAGTTAAAAAAGAACATACATTGGCTTTGAGAAAAGGCTATGGTAGATTGTGAGACACTGCAATAAAGAAATTTCAAGGGTTAGGGTGAGATTATGAGAGAGATGTGCTATTTATATTTCTCATTAAAAAGTCTTACAAAATCCACATTAATAGAAAATCCATTAAAATCGTCAGTTTTTTTAATACCACAAGATTGTTTTTCCTTTGTTTAAAATCTTGATTGAATATCACCGAATTTGGATGGACTCTAAAATAATCTTTTAAAATCTTGATTGAATACCACATGATTTTTTTTCAATCCTTTATAATCCTAATTGAATATCAATGGATTTTTCGTCCAAAAACAATCCATTAAAATCCTTTAAAATCTTAATCCAATACATCCCCCTAAGACTCCTAAAATATTTATTCTCTAAATATTTGATTTTCCTATTTGTGCATTTCTAATTTCCTATGGGCTATGTCCAAAGAAGCACGAACAGGCTTTTTTTTATTAAAAAATCAATGTCGAACACGAACATGCTCTGACACGTATCCAACATGCGGTCAATATTTTGGGACACGTTGACTATCTCGACACACAATTTTGACTGTATCTGACACTGTCCAGCGTTCTGTTGCCACCGCCGTTCCAAGCAGTGCTTCCATCTTCTTTCTCACTTCGTTCTTCATCTTCCTCGTGTCGCTCTCAGCTTCCCTTCCTCTGGCGCCTCAGGTACGCATTTACAATTTATTGTATATCAATCTTTGCACTGTTAATACAATACACAATTTATTGTATATCGGTCCTTGCATTGATAAAACAATTCACAATTTATTGTACATCAGTCCTTGCACTGATAATACAATTCACAATTTTATTGTACATCAATCTTTGCACTGATAATACAATTCACAATTTATTGTACATCAGTTCTTGCGCTGATAATACAATTCACAATTTATTGTAAATCAGTCCTTGCACTGATAATACAATTTTTTAATTGTACACTAGTATTTGCACTAATGATACAATTTCTTCATTCAATGGTCTCTTAGTCCTTTCACTAATCATACCATTTTCACACTCAATTTCTTTTTACTATCATGCATACATCTACACTTTGTGTAATTTATAGCTTCAATATATCCTGTCACAGTTCTAATCCATTGCCTGTTACTGATCACATAAACCTATGCTCAACACAATATGTCAACTCATCAATTTTCTTGCTCATTCTACTTCTTAATGGTTGCAAAGTATTCACTCACATCGAAAAGACCTTCATTCAATCTATCAATGCACCAACATGCCGCAAGGGATACTAGAATTTATTGGTTCATGCTACCCGCACACAAGGACCACCCGATGAGTCACAACTCAGAGTGGTGTCCACATGGGAGTTCCAAAAGCCTCACCTCTTAAGATCGGGTCCCTTCATAGGATATTCCATACCACATCATTTTCCTATGACCAAAGAATTCAATAATCCATTACAAAATGCATATACACGTACTCAGACCATCCCAAAGTATATATACTGGCACTTAGGACATTTTTATTATATACATAGCAATAAAATTACAAAATATCAAAACAACATAACAATATACTATTATTAGTAGTTCATGACATCAGGTCATAATATCTTATGCCACATTTATTTCATTCATGACGTAGCAGTCAATTTTGAACCAGCGTTCCATTATTGACAGTGGTCTTTAAAACGCACATTGGTGTTATGCTATTCATTCGAGGGTATGCCCTTTATCAAGGACTTATAACTCTCAATTTAGCATCTAAGTACCCTAACTTATCACATAATCATGTATGTCCACATCTTTCAAGGATTCACACCTTGGTTGGACATATCAATAAATCCATATTAACAACCAATAAGGTCAAGGTTTCTACACCTTAAACCTACTTAACCTACACTTGGTACTTGTTTCCAACCTCAAGTGGAATTTAACATACTTCCTAGATCACTTTTCTTGGCATGGCTATAGCCTAGCATACATGAAACATTCATTTATCTCTTGCTTTTTAAGCTATCGATCAACTCAATCAATCTTACCATGTTTAAGGTTCAACAACCATTAATCAACATGATTTTACACAAGTTCCTACATATATTACATGTCTATAGTTCCATCAACTCCAAATTCCATACTACAATATACAAGGAGTCTAAAAATCATCAATGTCATTTTGAACACATATGACCCCATTTCCCTATGTAGGTTAAAAATCACTAGGAAGGTTCAAGAGGGTTCTTCTACATTTCAAAACACTTAGTGGCTTCCATACCATCTTAGGTGGTGCATCTTCCATCACAAATCAATCAAATCTTTTTGATATAAAGGACATCACAACATTCCTCAATAATAGTTTTCCTTGTGAAAGGGTCCATCACGGTCCTATAATTGTCACATTCTCAATAAATAGGCTGTCATTAGCACTTGATGACTCAGGGTTGTTTTGGGGCCTCACCATAATACTACACATGTTTCACTAAGAAGTGAGTTGATCAGGTCCACACTCAGTGATCACAAACGCAATAATCATAAGGAGTACCTAAACAACTATAATGCTTTATACAACAAACAATTCTTAGGGTTCCCTAAGAAATTGCTCTGATAGCGTAAAATATAACAGCCCATTGTACACCGGTATGTTATCATCACATATGATATTAAGCGCAGTTACAATCACATCAATTAATTAAAATGCAGTAAAACTTTTTCCTTTTTAAAACAACATTTACGTTTAAACAACGGTATTTATCAAAATCCCAAAAATGTGATCATAACCGATTTACAATTGTAGAACATTAATTTCTATTGCTTAACTATCATACAACACATATCTAAGGTTGCTAAATAGTTTCCATAAACCAACAAAACTTAAATACACAATTTGACGTTTTACCGACTTGAGGTACATACGACTTTCTCAAAACTGCAGATGGACTACAAGTTCATAAATTCCTATCTTTTGGTATATTAAACTAAACTATTCTAGCTTTTCAACGAGGTGTCACATGCCTCAATTGGAGTTCTATAACTTTGGATATGCTCGTCGTAAGTTAATTCCTTAAAACTATTTGCAGGGGAACTACTGGAATTCTGACCACAGTTCACAAATCCCAAAACAGAGGCATATTCCAGTGCCCAAACAATTCTCCAAAAATCATGTAAATAAAATAGACATCTAGGGCTTCACTTTAACATAAGGTACGCCTTGTTTCAATGAGAAATACCAATTTAGTATTCACTCAGGAGCCACCAAGATGTACCGAGATTAAAAAGAATTTTTTGGTGGCCTAGATGTCAATTTAGGGCTTCAATGATGTATTCACTCAGGAGCCACCAATCTTTCTGTCTCTACGCCATCTTTTCTTTTCTTTTCTTTTCTTTGAAATTTGAAACCTTCGACGATGATTATCAAGAAGCGTCTTCATGATAAATACATTGGTGATGAAGAAAAACGGTTGAAGGTGTTGAAGATGGTTACTGAAAAATTCTACTATACAAAGGATAACCCAGAGAAAGCAATGGGAGAAGATGCATCCTTCGTCTACGAGGAATAGCAAACCATGGGTGTGGCTTATGGGGTCGGTGGTTAGGCCAAGAAAGGAATCGATGCTGGTAAATATGCTAGAGAGCTCATGACAGAGGCTTTGAATGCTATTCAACATCAATCAGAAAAAGGCTTAGTGGATCCAAGAAAAGTGTTGAACGATGTTTTCTTGAATACCAAAGAAAAAGGTTCGTCCACTGCATCTATTGTTACTCTGAAGGAAGGGGTGTTGCATAAGGTTAACGTGGGTGCTAATGGTTTAATGCTCTTTAGAAATAATAGGCTTTTGTTTCAATCACCGGTTCAACAGCACTCTTTCAACACGCCCTTTCAGTTGGGGAATAGTGAGATTAGTGACCTTGTTTCAATTTAACATAAGGTACGCCTTGTTTCAATGAGAAACGAAAGAGATACGCTCGTCGCAAGTAAGACGTACAAGACCGCCAACTCTTTGCACATGGGGCAGCCAAACATCCCTCATAGTTTTTGAAACTGCAATCGTTTCAACTTATCGAATTAATCTAAACTTTTAGTAAGGTATAGTAGACACCTAGACCTTCAATTTGATATATCATAAGCCTAATTTGAATTGAATATGAGGCAGAGACGATGGATGGAGTTCGTCAAAGACTATAATTTCGAATTAAAAAATCATCCAGAAAAAGTCAACGTGGTTGCAGATGCTTTAAGACGAAAGTTTGTGAGTATTGCTAGTATAATAATAGGAGACTGAAAGTTGATAGAAGACTTCAGAGACATGAATTTGACAATGATTAGAGATGATTGGGGTATTAAGATAAAGGAGACTAAGGTTCATGATAAGCTAATTGAGAAAATTCGAGAAGCTCAAAGACAAGATGATGATGTAGAGTCACTGATAGGGAAAAAAGATGTCTCTTGGGTAGATCATGACTTGGTATTGTATCAAGGCAGAGTTGTTGTGCCTAAGGGAGAATTGGTGGAAGAATTATTAGTTAAGGCGCATAAATGCCAATTTAGTATTCACCCAGAAGCCACCAAGATATACCAAGATTTAAAAAGAAATTTTTGGGGGCCTAGTATGAAGAAATATATGGCCAAGTATTTTGCTAATTTCTTGGTGTGTCAAAAGGTGAATATTGAACATCAGAAACCTTCAGGCCTACTTCAATCACTGGAGATACCAGTACGAAAATGAGATAGCATTTCCATTGACTCCATAGAACGCAGACTGGTTGTGATTCCATATGGGTGATTGTTGATAGGTTGACAAAGTCAGCCCATTTCTTGCCTGTTAGGACTGACTATACCATAGAGAGGCTAGCTCAATTGTACATTAAAGAGATTGTCAGGCCGCATGGTGTGCCCGAGAGCATCGTTAGTGATAGAGATTCAAAGTTCACCTCTAAGTTTTGTGGTGCTTTACAGGAAGCTTTTGGGACTTAGCTAAGACTTAGAACAACCTATCACCCCCAAACAGATGGTCAGACGGAGAGCGTCATCCAGACTTTAGAGGACATATTGAGGGCTGGCTCTTTGGAGTAAGGTGCTAGAACTCCTACTTGTTGGACTGAGATAGGAGAGAGGCAACTGCTTGGACCTAATATGGTTCAAGATACTTCTAATCAGATCCATATGATTAGAGACAAGTTATTGAGGGCTCAGAACCGACAAAAAAGCTATTAGGATAACAAACATAGACCATTGGATTTTGATGTTTGTGAGCACGTGTTTCTAAAGCTCTCACCAGTCGCAGGTGTTGGACGGGAATTAGGTGTGAAGAAGCTTAGTCCTAGGTTCATTGGGCCCTGTCAGATTATCTAGAGGATAGGACCTGTGGCCTATCGGCTATTCTTACTTCCCCACTTGTCTGGTTCACACGATGTTTTCCACGTAACACAATTGCGAAGGTCTATACCGGATCCATCCCATGTGGTGGAACCTGATACAGTGCATATCAGAAAGAATCTGACTAATCTTAGATGACCAACACAGATTTTGGATAGGATAAAGAAGAAGATTAGGAGTAAGACAATCCCTATAGTTAGAGTGAAAAGCGGAGGAAGGACATCTGAAGAAGCGACTTGGGAGCGGGAGAGTTAGCTTTTGCATCAGTATCCCGAGTTATTCAATATGTATGCCTTTTAAATTTTGAGGTCAAAATTTTTAAAAAGGGTATAACCCTAATAATTAGATGACTTAAACTGGGCTATGTGTGTAATTAAAAGGAGGATTAATAGAACAAATTGAGATAACAGGCTTCAATTTAACTATAGGAGATGTCATTTCTTTCTGTCTTTTTGTCTCTGCGCCATCTTTTCTTTTCTTTTCTTTTCTTTGAAATTTGAAACCTTCGACGATGATTATCAAGAAGCGTCTTCATGATAATTACATTGGTGATGAAGAAAAGCCATAGAAACGGTTGAAGGTGTTGAAGACGGTTATTGGAAAATTCTACTATCCAAAGGATAACCTGAGAAACCAATGGGAGAAGATGCATCATTCGCCTACGAGGAATAGGAAACCATGGGTGTGGCTTATGGGGTCAGTGGTTGGGCCAAGAAAGGAATCGATGCTGGTGAATATGCCAGATAGCTCATGACAAATGCTTTGAATGCTGTTCAACTTCAATCAGAAAAAGGCTTTATGGATACAAGAAAAGTGTTGAACGTTGTTTTCTTGAATACAAAAGCAAACGGTTCGTCTACTGCATCTATTGTTACTCTGAAGGAAGGGGTGTTGCATAAGGTTAACATGGGTGATAGTGGTTTAATGCTCTTTAGAAAGAATAGGCTTTTGTTTCAATCACCGGTTCAACAGCACTCTTTCAACACGCCCTTTCAGTGGGGGAATTATGAGATTAGTGACCTTGTTTCAATTTAACATAAGGTACGCCTTGTTTCAATGAGAAACGAAAGAGATACGCTCGTCGCAATAAGACGTACATGACTGCCAACGATCTGCACACGGGGCACCAAACATCCCTCATAGTTTTTGAAACTGCAATCGTTTCAACTTATCGGATTACTCTAAACTTTTAGTAAGGTATAGTAGACACCTAGACCTTCAATTTGATATATCATAAGCCTAATTTGAATTGAATATGAGGCAGAGACGATAGATAGAGTTCGTCAAAGACTATAATTTCGAATTGAAAAATCATCCAGAAAAAGTCAACGTGGTTGCAGATGCTTTAAGACGAAAGTTTGTGAGTAATGCTAGTACAATGATAGGAGACTGCAAGTTGATAGAATACTTCAGAGACATGCATTTGACAATGATTTGAGATGATTGGGGTATTGTGATAAAGGAGACTAAGGTTCACGATGAGCTAATTGAGAAAATCCGAGAAGCTCAAAGACTAGATGATGATGTAGAGTCACTGATAAGGAAAAAAGATGTCTCTTGGGAAGATCATGACTTGGCATTGTATCAAGGCAGAGTTGTTGTGCCTAAGGGAAAATTGGTGGAAGAATTATTAGTTAAGGCGCATAAATGCCAATTTAGTATTCACCCAGGAGCAACCAAGATGTACCAAGATTTAAAAAGAAATTTTTTTTGGCCTAGTATAAAGAAATATATCGCCAAGTATGTTGTTAATTTCTTGGTGTGTCAAAAGGTGAATATTGAACATCAGAAACCATCAGGCCTACTTCAATAAATGGAGGTACCAGTACGAAAATGAGATAGCATTTCCATTGACTCCATGGTCTGAATGCCTAGAACCCGGACTAGTTGTGATTCCATATGGCTGATTGTTGATAGGTTGACAAAGTCAGCCCATTTCTTTCCTGTTAGGACTGACTATACCATAGAGAGGCTAGCTCAATTGTACATTAAAGAGATTGTCAGGCAGCATGGTGTTCCCGAGAGCAACGTTAGTGATAGAGATTCAAAGTTCACCTCTAAGTTTTGGGGTGATTTATACGAAGCTTTCGGGACCTAGCTAAGACTTAGAACAACCTATCACCCCCAAAGAGATGGTCAGACAGAGAGCATTATCAAGACTTTGGAGGACATATTGAGGGCTTGCTCTTTGGAGTAAGGTGCTAAAACTCCTACATGTTGGACTGAGATAGGAGAGAGGCAACTGCTTGGAACTAATATGGTTCAAGATACTTCTAATCAGATCCTTATGATTAGAGACAAGTTGTTGAGGGCTCAGAACCGACAAAAAAGCTATTATGATAACAAACATAGACCATTGGAGTTTGATGTTGGTGAACACGTGTTTCTGAAGCTCTCACCAGTCGCAGCTGTTGGATGGGCATTAAATGTGAGGAAGCTTAGTCCTAGGTTCATTGGGCCCTGTCAGATTATCCAGAGGATAGAACCTGTGGCCTACCGGCTATTCTTACTTCCCCACTTGTCTGGTTTACACGATGTTTTCCACGTATCACAATTGCGAAGTTATATACCGGATCCATCCCATGTGGTGGAACCTGATACAGTGCAGATCAGAAAGAATCTGACTAATCTTATATGACCAACACAGATTCTGGATAGGATGAAGAAAAAGATTAGGAGTAAAACAATCCCTATAGTTAAAGTGCAAAGTGGAGGAAGGACATCTGAAGAAGCGACTTGGGAGCGGGAGAGTTAGCTTTTGCATCAGTATCCCGAGTTATTCAATATGTATGCCTTTTAAATTTTGAGGTCAAAATTTTTAAAAAGGGTATAACCCTAATAATTAGATGACTTTAACTGGGTTTATGTGTGTAATTAAAAGGAGGATTAATAGAAAAAATTGAGATAACAGGCTTCAATTTAACTATAGGAGATGTCATTTCTTTCTGTCTTTCTGTCTCTACGCCATCTTTTCTTTTCTTTTCTTTTTCTATGAAATTTGAAACCTTCGACGATGATTATCAAGAAGCGTCTTCATGATAAATACATTGGTGATGAAGAAAATCCAAAGAAACGGTTGAAGGTGTTGAAGATGGTTACTGGAAAATTCTACTATCCAAAGGATAACCCGAGAAACCAATTGGAGAAGATGCATCCTTCGTCTACGAGGAATAGCAAACCATGGGTGTGGCTTATGGGGTCGGTGGTTGGGCCAAGAAAAGAATCAATGCTGGTGAATATGCCAGAGTGCTCATGATAGAGGCTTTGAATGCTGTTCAACTTCAATCAGAAAAAGGTTTTGTGGATCCAAGAAAAGTGTTGAACGATGCTTTCTTGACTACCAAAGCAAAAGGTTCGTCCACTGCATCTATTGTTACTCTGAAGGAAGGGGTGTTGCATAGGGTTAACGTGGGTGATAGTGGTTTAATGCTCTTTAGAAATAATATGCTTTTGTTTCAATCACCGGTTCAACAACACTCTTTCAACACGCCCTTTCAGTTGGGGAATAGTGAGATTAATGACCTTGTTTCAATTTAACATAAGGTACGCCTTGTTTCAATGAGAAACGAAAGAGATACGCTCGTCGCAAGTAAGACGTACAAGACTACCAACTCTCTGCACACGGGGCACCAAACTTCCCTTATAGTTTTTGAAACTGTAATCGTTTCAACTTATCCAATTACTCTAAACTTTTAGTAAGGTATAGTAGACACCTAGACCTTCAATTTGATATATCATAAGCCTAATTTGAATTGAATATGAGACAGAGACGAGGGATGGAGTTCGTCAAAGACTATAATTTCAAATTGAAATATCATCCAGAAAAAGTCAATGTGGTTGTAGATGCTTTAAGTCGAAAGTTTGTGAGTATTGCTAGTATAATGATAGGAGACTGCAAGTTGATAGAAGACTTCAGAGACATGCATTTGATAATGATTGGAGATGATTGAGGTTTTGAGATAAAGGAGACTAAGGGTCATGATGAGCTAATTGAGAAAATTCGAGAAGCTCAAAGACAATATGATGATGTAGAGTCACTGATAGGGAAAAGAGATGTCTCTAGGGAAGATCATGACTTGGTATTGTATCAAAACATAGTTGTTGTGCCTAAGGGAGAATTGGTGGAAGAATTATTAATTAAGGCGCATAAATGCCAATTTAGTATTCACCTAGGAGCCACCAAGATGTACCAAGATTTAAAAAGAAATTTTTGGTGGCCTGGTATGAAGAAATATATCGCCAAGTATGTTGCTAATTATTTGGTGTGTCAAAAGGTGAATATTGAACAACAGAAACCTTCAGGCCTACTTAAATCAGTGGAGATACCAGTACAGAAATAAGATAGCATTTCCATTGACTCCATGGTCGGAATGCCTAGAACCCAGACTAGTTGTGATTCCATATGGGTGATTGTTGATGGTTGACAAAGTCAGCCCATTTCTTGCCTGTTAGGACTGACTATACCATGGAGAGGCTAGCTCAATTGTACATTAAAGAGATTGTCAAGCAGCTTGGTGTGCCCGAGAGCATCGTTAGTGATAGAGATTCAAAGTTGACCTCTAAGTTTTGGGGTGCTTTATAGGAAGCTTTTGGGACTTAGCTAAGACTTAGAACAACCTATCACCCCCAAACAGATGGTCAGACAGAGAGCATTATCCAGACTTTGGAGGACATATTGAGGGCTTGCTCTTTGGAGTAAGGTGCTAGAACTCCTACTTGTTGGACTGATATAGGAGAGAGGCAACTGCTTGGACCTAATATGGTTCATTATACTTCTAATCAGATCCATATGATTAGAGACAAGTTATTGAGGGCTCAGAACCGACAAAAAAGCTATTATGATAACAAACATAGACCATTGGAGTTTGATGTTGGTGAGCACGTGTTTCTGAAGCTCTCACTAGTCGCAGGTGATGGACGAGCATTAGGTGTGAGGAAGCTTAGTCCTAGGTTCATTGGGCCCTGTCAGATTATCCAGAGTATAGGACCTCTGGCCTACCGGCTATTCTTACTTCCCCACTTCTCTGGTTTACACGATGTTTACCACGTATCACAATTGTGAAGGTATATACCGGATCCATCCCATGTGCTGGAACCTGAAACAGTGCAGATCTGAAAGAATCTGACTAATCTTATATGACCAACATAGATTCTGGATAGGGTGAAGAAAAAGATTAGGAGTAAGACAATCCCTATAGTTAAAGTGCAAAGCGGAGGAAGGACATCTGAAGAAGCGACTTGGGGCGGGAGAGTTAGCTTTTGCATCAGTATCCCGAGTTTTTCAATATGTATGCCTTTTAAATTTTGAGGTCAAATTTTTTAAAAAGGGTATAACCCTAATAATTAGATGACTCAAACTAGGTTTATGTGTGTAATTAAAAGGAGGATTAATAGAAAAAATTGAGCTAACAGGCTTCAATTTAACTATAGGAGATGTTATTTCTGTCTGTCTTTCTGTCTCTACGCCATCTTTTCTTTTCTTTTCTTTTCTTTGAAATCTTAAACCTTCGACGATGATTATCAAGAAGCGTTTTCATGATAAATACATTGGTGATGAAGAAAAGCTAAAGAAATGGTTGAAGGTGTTGAAGATGGTTACTGGAAAATTCTACTATCCAAAGGATAACCCGGAGAAACCAATGGGAGAAGATGCATCCTTCGTCTACGAGGAATAGCAAACCATGGGTGTGGCTTATGGGGTCGGTGGTTGGGCCAAGAATGGAATCGATGCTGGTGAATATGCCAGAGAGCTCATGACAGAGGCTTTGAATGCTGTTCAACTTCAATAAGAAAAAGGTTTTGTGGATACAAGAAAAGTGTTGAACGATGCTTTCTTGAATACCAAAGCAAAAGGTTCGTCCACTGCATCTATTGTTACTCTGAAGGAAGGGGTGTTGTATAGGGTTAACGTGGGTGATAGTGGTTTAATGCTCTTTAGAAATAATAGGCTTTTGTTTCAATCACTGGTTCAACAGCACTCTTTCAACACGCCCTTTCAGTTAGGGAATAGTGAGATTAGTGACCTTGTTTCAATTTAACATAAGGTACGCCTTGTTTCAATGAGAAACGAAAGAGATACGCTCGTCGCAAGTAAGACGTACAAGACTGCCAACTCTCTGCACACGGGGGACCAAGCATCCCTCATAGTTTCTGAAACTGCAATCATTTCAACTTATCCAATGACTCTAAACTTTTAATAAGGTATAGTAGACACCTAGACCTTCAATTTGATATATCATAAACATCATTTGAATTGAATATGAGGCACAGACGATGGATGGAGTTCGTCAAAGACTATAATTTCGAATTGAAATATCATCCAGAAAAAGTCAATGTGGTTGCAGATGCTTTAAGTCGAAAGTTTGTGAGTATTGCTAGTATAATGATAGGAGACTGCAAGTTGATAGAAGACTTCAGAGACATGCATTTGACAATGATTGGAGATGATTTGGGTATTGAGATAAAGGAGACTAAGGTTCATGATGAGCTAATTAAGAAAATCCGAGAAGTTCAAAGACAAGATGATGATGTAGAGTCACTGATAGGGAAAAAAGATGTCTCTTGGGAAGATCATGACTTGGTATTGTATCAAGGCAGAGTTGTTGTGCCTAAGGGAGAACTGGTGGAAGAATTATTAGTTAAGGCGCATAAATGCCAATTTAGTATTCACCCAGGAGCCACCAAGATGTACCAAAATTTAAAAATAAATAAATTTGGTGGCCTAGTATGAAGAAATATATTGCCAAGTATGTTGCTAATTTCTTGGTGTGTCAAAAGGTGAATATTGAACATCAGAAACCTTCAGGCCTACTTCAATCACTGGAGATACCAGTACGGAAATGAGATAGCATTTCCATTGACTCCATGGTCGGAATGCCTAGAACCCAGACTGGTTGTGATTCCATTTGGGTGATTGTTGATAGGTTGACAAAGTCAGCCCATTTCTTGCCTGTTAGGACTGACTATAGCATGGAGAGGCTAGCTCAATTGTACATTAAAGAGATTGTCAGGCAGTATGGTGTGCCCGAGAGCATCGTTAGTGATAGAGATTCAAAGTTCACCTCTAAGTTTTGGGGTGCTTTATAGGAAGCTTTTGGAACTTAGCTAAGACTTAGAACAACCTATCACCCCCAAACAGATGGTCAGACGGAGAGCATTATCCAGACTTTGGAGGACATATTGAGGGCTTGCTCTTTGGATTAAGGTGCTAGAACTCCTACTTGTTGGACTGATATAGAAGAGAGGCAATTGCTTGGACCTAATATGGTTCAAGATACTTCTAATCAGATCTATATGATTAGAGACAAGTTATTGAGTGCTCAGAACTGACAAAAAAGCTATTATGATAACAAACATAGACCATTGGAGTTTGATGTTGGTGAGCACGTGTTTCTGAAGCTCTCACCAGTCGCAGGTGTTGGACGGGCATTAGGTGTGAGGAAGCTTAGTCCTAGGTTCATTGGGCCCTGTCAGATTATCCAGAGGATAGGACCAGTGGCCTACCGACTATTCTTACTTCCCCACTTGTCTGGTTTACACGATGTTTTTCACGTATCACAATCGCGAAGGTATATACCGGATCCATCCCATGTGGTGGAACCTGATACAGTGCAGATCAGAAAGAATCTGACTAATCTTATATGACCAGCACAGATTCTGGATAGAATGGAGAAAAAGATTAGGAGTAAGACAATCTATATAGTTAAAGTGCAAAGGGGAGGAAGGACATCTGAAGAAGCGACTTGGGAGCGGGAGAGTGAGCTTTTGCATCAGTATCCTGAGTTATTCATTATGTATGCCTTTTAAATTTTGAGGTCAAATTTTTTAAAAAGGGTATAACTCTAATAATCAAATTACTTAAATTGGATTTAAGTGTGTAATTAAAAGGAGGATTAAGAGAAAAAATTGAGAAGAATTATAAGTTTGAGGAAAAATAGAAAAAATGGCAAAAATGACATTAAGTCCCTGCTTGTGGACTCGCTCGATTAAGCGAGCAGTCTAGCAAGCAAGTTTGTAGCTCGCGGATTTGCTTGCTTGAGCGAGCATACATGAAAATTGTTAAAACATTGTAAACACTCTCTCTCCGCATTTATCCCCAAACTTAACCAAGGATAGCTCTGTTTCCCCCATTATTGGTCGAAAATATACCTTATCTACCTTCATTAATGCTTTTCTAACACTTTATGAAGCTTTGTTAAGCTTAATCATCAACCCATCCCTTCCATTTCCTTTGGTTAATCTGACAGTGAACAAGTAAGAAATCATCTCCTTCCTTTCCAAAAACACCATTTTCGAATTCCATGTGTGTGAAACCAAGGAATTGAGTTATGAGTTTATTGGGAGCTTGAGAATCCTCCTTTGACAAAGGTTTTTGTAACCATAAGGTAAGAGAACCTTATTTACTTGGTTATTGTTGGATGTTTTGGAAAAGGGGTTAGGGTTTCCTTTGTGAAATTGGGTAAATTCAAAAAATTATGTTTGGTTTTGGTGATTGATGTTTGACTATGTCTTGTTTGTTTAGGATTGTGGTTGCTAGTGGTGATTTGTAAGCGGGGACATCATAGAGCTTGGCTCTTGAGACTTTGAGAAGTGTAGGTAAGATGGCAAAACTTTGAATCTTGAAAATGATGGATTATGGTTGTTTATGTTGGAACCATGAATTGTTTTGCATACTTTTGTTTGGTTGTTGATTGATTCAATTACCTTGGTATATGATTTGTTGTTGATTATGATGTTGGGACTGTTGACCTAGAGAACAAGAGGACAAAACCATGTTAGGTAAACTCTTGGATTTTGGGAGATTTTCCACCATACTTCATGAAGAGTAATGGTTTGCATAATATGTATGTGCACTGGTATTAGAATATGGTGTATTGGCTTGAGCTTGAGTTGTGGAATTTCCATGTATGGTTGCATGATTTGAGTGGTTCTCTGGCTAGTAAGATTAGATTCACACAAGCATTTCGATGATGGCTGATGGTCTAGAGGAATAGCTTGCATTGTGAATCATACCAATATTTTGGGGATGGCTGATGGTTCAAAGGGACATTTGGTTAGTGTTGATACACCTGGCATAGATAGATGCCTATGATTGAGAGCTTGGTTGTTATGTGCTGTTTTAATACTCATATGTCATGGAAGTGAGCTCAGGGTTGGAGAAATCTCCAAAGTCCCTTATTTTGCTGAGATTGTATCTCATCCCATGTGGAGATTATTTTCAGGTACCACAGGTGGCACATGTGATGATTCCCAGGGCAGGAGGCTTGAATAGTGATTGTTGATATGCTTATTTTGGATTATACACCCTTTGACATGAGAGCATACTAAGATCATATTTTGAGTCATATATTGCATTTGTAGCTTGGAGAGTTACACATTAGATCATGGATGTATTTCTGTCAAAGTGGAGGGAGCATGGAGTTATGCACTATTTTGGAGAGACAGACGAATTGATGTATTCTAAGAACATTGCCTTATGTTATTTTCACTTTGTAATAACCTTATGCATCTTTTGATTAAAGGAAATTTAACGGACTTGTGTAACATGAATGCTTGTGATGTAATGTCCATTGGAATATTTTGAAAGTGGAAAGATGCATATATGATGGTCAATGAGACATTATTGAATATATGTTGAAATGTTAACAATATGGGATTAAGTGGCTTGTAACGTAAGATATGGTTGTAATATGTAATAGTTTGAAGAAAAATAAATGCAAGTAAGATATTGAATATATGGTTGTTGTAATGTGGATAATCAGACATCTTAAGGGTGAAGAAAGTAGGATCCAAAGTCCTAAGATAGAACATAAAAACATAGGGAACCATTTTTACAAAACAGGGCATGCTCGTTGGCTTGCGCGCTTAAGCGAGCAACTTAGCAAATAAGGCCTTGATGTTGGCAATGGCTTCGGGTTTGAAATTAAAATTCCTCGCTGCCACCCTTGCTCAAGCGAGCTGTCTCAAGATGAGTAGGCATGCTCGTTGACCTTGCTCGTTTAAACGAGCAGCTCAGCGAGCAAGCCATTGATGGAGACATCAACTTCGGGTTTGAAATTAATTTGCTCACTACTTTTCTCGCTTAAGCAAGCAGCTCAACAAGGAAGGTTGCAACTCACTAATTTTGCTCGCTCAAGAAAGCTAATCAGCTTGCAACATCAGGTATTAAATTTTAAATTTTAGCAACTTGCATGCTTGTAGAGGCTATTGATGTATGATATTAAGCATATGTAAAATATTTTTGCATGATTTATGCGGTGTAATTATGTAATTTGAATGTGAGAGGTTATAGTTACTACTTCTTTTTCTTACTACGTGTTACTACTAAATCGTAATCGTTGATTTCCGTCAATCTAACAGTTATAATTTATTGGGTCATACTTATTAATTAATCACTAATTTTCAATAAATTATAACCGTTAGATTGACGAAAATCAACGATTATGATTTAATAGTATTAAATAGTAAGAAAAAGAGGTAATAATTATAACCTTCCCCAATTTAAATTATTGGAATACTCCCATATTTATGCAAAAGAAAGTAAAATGAAAGGAATTTACCCGTATTTTTAATTCAATACTGTAATTGGAACCACGGAGTGGTAGAAGGCTACTCATCCTCGGCAAAAAATTTAATTTATTGCTTTTTTATTAAAAAATTACGAAAATGTAGTCTTTTTGAAATTAATTACGAAAATATAGCAGTCAAACACGTCCACATGGGGCGTGTTCCAATAAAGAGAAACACACCCATGTGGGGTGTGACCTAAGCGCGAGTCACGCCTATATGGGGCGTGACCAAGTTGGAGAGAGACACGCCCCATCTGGGCGTGACCAAGGAGAGAGACACACCCCATCTGGACGTGTTTCACCAGGTGCTGCCACGTGTCACAAAAGTCAATAATTTGACCGTAAAACTTTGGAAGTCCATAACTTTTGACTCGGGTATCCGAATTAGGTAATTTTTTTTTATTCCACATAACTTTTCGAGATCTACGTAATGACACCTCATTTGGCATATTTTGTCTCTCACAAAAGAAATTGAATTTACAATAATACCATAATTACTAAAAATGATACCATAATTATTAAAAATGACATGACTTTGTTACCTTATAATTATTACTAAAATAATCTAACATTTTTATAATCTTGAACAAAAACTTAAAAATCAAAATAAAACGAAAATCACTACTTAACTTTTTAATATAAATTATTCGATATTCTTTCACCGACAATGTTAACCGAAATTTTTTTTATAAATTTCATAAAATTCTTCATTCAAATTTTTAATATATATCTCAATAACATACATAATTAACCTTATCATAACTTACCATAATCATAAGGATCTTTATTATGAATGTTTCTAATCATAACAGTGGTTTTGTGCTTATTAATTTGAGTTTAAACGTTCTTATGGTATTATTATTGTAAATTCAATTTTTTTTGTGAGAGACAAAATATGCCAAATGAGGTGTCATTACGTAGATCTCGAAAAGTTATGTGGAATAAAAAAAAATTACCTAATTCGGATACCCGAGTCAAAAGTTATGGACTTCCAAAGTTTTACGGTCAAACCATTGACTTTTGTGACACGTGGCAGCACTTGGTGAAACACGCCTAGATAGAGCGTGTCTCTCTCCTCGGTCACGCCCAGGCTGAAGAGTTGAAAGTTAGTAATAAAATTTTTTGGTAATTAGAATTTGTTTACTTAGCATACCTAGCCCATAAATTTTGTTCCAATTATTCAAACCCTAAATCAACATTTGGGCAAGAAACTCAGGTGCTCAACTTCGTTACTCGGTGCTTGGATTTGCGAATAATCTGAATCCAAAACAGCAAGGTATTTGTAGGATAACCTCTTTCTCTTTTACCGAATTTCATCATCAATTTTATAGCTTTTCACTGACCAATTTGGCCAGAAACTCAAATCCCACATCTAATATTGTATTGGCAATGGGGTATGGACCATTTTATTTTGATTTTTTTCGATTATCGTTTCCAAAAGGGTTTTCCCTCAAATGCTAATAATTTAATCAACACACACACAAAAATTAAAAATTAAAAATTATGGGAGAAGTTATTAATATCTCTATGATCTTAAGCAAGTAAATTTATGAAGCATTTATCTATCTTTTGAGTCAGGTATCTATGGAAGGAATAGAAACAGAGGAAAAGTCGATGAAGAGAGAGAGGCCAAGTGGAAGAGATAGAGAAGAGGAGAGGGACAGACTCAGTGACTTGCCTGACTGTGTTCTGCTCCATATATTGAAATTTATGGACACAAAATATGCTGTTCAAACTTGTGTCTTGTCTCAAAGGTGGAAGAACCTTTGGAAATGTCTCACTAATCTCAAATTCGATCGCAACCACTTTAGAAAAACTGCTATTTTTACCAAATTTGTGTCTTCGGTTCTGTGTAGTCGAAATGACTCTATATCCTTGCATAGTCTTGATTTCTTGTGCCGTGGATTTGTTGATCCCATATTCCTGAATTGGATCATGAGATATGCTGTGTTGCACAAAATACAACAGTTGACAATGCATATATACATACATTCCTATATTCGCGGACCAGAATTTGAGTTTATCCCGTTCATCTTTTCCTGTACGTCTTTGACATCTCTTAAGGTTTTCATTAGGCATAAAAGCGGGATGATAAAACTTCCGAAATCTCTGCAGTTGCCGGCATTAAAAAGCTTGCATCTTAAGCATGTCATTTTTACTGCAAGTAACCATGACTGTGCTGAGCCCTTTTCAACCTGTAAAATGTTGAATACTTTGGTCATTGAAGGTTGTTCTTTGGATGATGGTGTAAAAGTCCTCTGCATATCTAATTATAACCTTTCCAGTTTGACCATATGCAATAACTACAGACTTTCGAGCTTTGAAAATGACATAATTACACTTTCTATTCCAAATCTCAATTCTCTTACTATCATGAGGGCTCCTATTTACCAACTATCCTTCGCATGCAATCTTCCTTTCCTCGAAGAAGTAAATATTGACACCAGTTATTTTACACATCCTCATAATACCGATATTGTCTTCATAAGCTGGTTGCAAGTGCTTGCTAATGTAAAGATAATGACACTCTCTTGTTTTACCCTTAAGGAAATACTACATGTAAGTTACTTTAGTGAATTTTCTTCTCTTTATTTTTCATATTGCACCTAAGATGTATGTTTTTTAATGTCAAGATTTGTGCCAATATTCATTCTTTCATTTCAGAATATCCAATAAAATATCTCTTTAATTCACTCTAATTGTGTAGGAGCTCTTAAATCACAGTTCCAAGACAATTCAACCTCCTTGCTTTATAAAATTGGAGTTATTAAAAGTGACAAAGCACTCATTTGCCATAATATCCGATGATGAAGTAATCTGGATAGTTTATTACTTACTTCAAAACTCTCCATTGCCCAGAATTGATGTCATAAATTGCTGAAGGTAATACCCATGCTTGACTCTATAGATAGAGATGTTTACAAATTATTCAGTTTTTTATTTTATTTTATGCTTCGCTATCTACCTGATGCCCTCTTACAGTAAATTTAAAGTTTCTATATTGAGTTGTTATTTTTTTATTTGTCTTTGACAGATAAATTTTTAAAAAATAAGAAACTGTAACTGTAGGGAATAATGTGTGAAAAATACAAATTTATATTCTTTTAATGTTGGAGAATGATGTATGTCAAATCTTTTGTTTACAACTGAATTGAGGCTGCATCAGAAAACAAATTTTTATTTGTGTGCTTCTTAAGTTACAACAAATGTTCTTAAGTGGCAATCAGAATCAGTTTGAATTGGCTTAGAAATTTTTATATGATTTTTATCATAATCTAGATCATCCTTGAAGAACACTACTGCTGCAGAAATAAGGCCATACGATAGACTGAAGAACTTGAAGTGACTTTATTTGCTAGTGTTGTATGTTTTATCATCATTGTTACCTTTTAATTCATTAAATTCGACAATATTCTTTTCTATAAGCTGACAATGATATTTAGCCATCAATATGTTCGATTTCACGTGTAGAATATCCTATCTTTAGTTTCATGGCAGATCTATATGCATATTTTTAAAAGCATTTTTGGTACTTTCAAAAGAGGGCAAGTCTAGAGTAATGGCAAAGCTGCTCTTTTATGATAGAAAGGTCACGTGTTTAAACCCGGGAAACAGTCTATTTGCAAATATGCATGGATAAGATTGTGCGGATAAGGATTCCCCTCACCCCTACCCTCACTAATTGGGGTTTAATGGAGAGTGGTTTATTTTTTTTGTTAATTTCAAAATTGAAAAGAACTTAAGGAAATTGTTGAAATATTAGAGTTTGCTAGTGTTATATGTTTTATCATCATTGTCAATTTTAATTCATGAAAGTCAACAAATCCTTCTTTTTCTACAAGGCTGAGAATGATGTTTAGCCGTTTTTATGTTCGATTTCACATCTATCATATCCTATTTTTGTTTTCATGACAGATCATTATACCATTTTTTGAAAAGCATTTTTGATTATTTCAAAATTGAAAAAAAGTTAAGGAAATTGTTGGGATATTAGAGTTATGGTGAGATATTAATATCCTTTTACATTCATGAATTGCTCATTTTGATTTATCAAGAATTTGTTAATAAAGTTGAAGCACATCTAGTGGGATAGGCTTGGTTGTTGTTTGCTGTTATTGGTAATACAGTAAATTGAATTAGGTCCTGACCAGTGACAAGTGGGTGATTTTTATATTAGATTTGTAGGGTCATTGAAGAACATCGTAGCCTTTATTTTTAAGTTGATTCCTAAGTGACGTTTTAATTTGTTCTTTAAAAATGGGCCATGATATATACATTATTTTTATGCTTAAATGTCATGGGAAATAATAATTTGCAATGTTTGACCAAGTAAGTATTTGACCTCGTACTGTCAATGATTACAGTTTTTGGGATGTTTTGGCTGCCATTTGTTTAGTCATATATGCTTTTCAAATGTGCTTGCTTGTTTAGCCACTGTGAGCTATGCATAAGAGTTAAAACCTGTTTATGGTATTGGAAATGTTTACATTGTGTTAGAAATATTAGAATAGGAAATATTAGATATGATTAGATTTGATTATATTTGAATAGAATACTTCCTATATGTTAATATTCTGGGCGTCTCACTTAAGCCCATTAGGGTCTCTATATATTGTAACTCTTTGTATTAAGTTATTACACAATTGAATACAATATACAGATTCTTATTCTCAAGTTGGTACCAGAGCTTACGTTCTGGGAAACCTCGCTTCCGCATAAAACCCTTTTCTCGCCGTGCATCATACCGGCAACCTTTTTTTTTTTTTAGCCATAACCCTTGTTTAGTCACCAAATATTTCGCCTCAACCCTAAAAAGCCAGAAACCAGCCTCCTCAGCCTCTGTTTGCCGTCAGAACCGCCGTTTGCTACTGTTCACGGTCACCGGAAAACTTTTTTGGCGACGATTTCAACCGGACAACCTGCGATCAGGCTCTCTTTCCTCCGGTGACCAACTCTGCAGAGGGCCCATCACCGGCGGCCAAGTCACGCGCCCTCACGCGCGACTGAGCTCCTCTGCGCGTGGTCCTCACGCGCCGCCTCTCACCGGCGCGTGAGCACTGTTCCGGTGGCTTTTTCTGGCCACTCCAAGACAGAACAACTCGCCTTCCTTCCCCTCTTCTCCGATCTGGTCTTCATTCGTTGTGGGTCTCGCCCGTTCAGAAGATATCAGTGATTCTTTGCTTTCCGGTCATTGTTCATAGTGCTGGAATTTTCTATTTAATTCTGTTTTATTTTTTATTTGGTAATCTGTGTTTATTTGGTCCTTTTATCTGGTTATCTGGTCATCTTTGTTTATCTGGTCATCTTTATTTAATTTTTTGATGGAGGGCGCATCCAAAAATAGTACTGGAGTCATCTCCAGTACTACCCCATCCATTACAACAATGAAACTGACCGGATCTGCTACTTACAAGACCTGGTTTACCTCAGTTAAGATCGGGTTTACTGGTCAGGGGCACGGTCCACATCTCACAACTAAGTCTGCCGATATTTCAAAAGACCAGACATCTGAATGGGACAAGATTGATGCTCAACTGCTAAGTATCCTTTGGCAGTCCATTGATCGGACGATTATAGACATTTTCATCTCCTTTGAGACCTGCTATGACGTATGGGAGGAAGCTAAAAACCTCTACACCAATGACATTAAGCAGCTTTATTCAATTGTGTCTCAGATAATGGAATTGCGCAAATCTCCAGAGTCTCGAATGGAAACTTATATTGGTAAGATACGTTCTTCGATGCAAGAATTCTTAGCTATGTTACCTCATGCTGCAGATGCCTCTGCGTACAAGAAGCAGGTGGAGTGCTTTTTTATGGTCATAACTTTCTCCGGTCTTTATGAGGAGTTAGAAAGTGTTCGTGAGAATATTCTAACCAGTGCTGAGACTCCTAGCCTGTCACACACTTTCCAACGCCTTCTGAATCTTAAGGACAAACCAACAGCTCCCACACATGTGCCAGCTATCGATTCCACTGCATTCTTTTCTCGCTCCAATGATTCTTGGAACAGTGGACGCGGTCGCGGACGTGGCCGTGGACAGGGTGGCCGCGGACAGAGGCCTCGTTGCAATTATTGCCAGAATCTTGGACATTTTGAAGAACGCTGCTACAGGAAGTACCCTCACTTGAAATCACTGACTGCCAACTTTGCTCAGACTGATGTTACACCACATTCTACTGGATCAGTAACTCTTTCCAGTGCCGAATATGAGGCACTTCTCAAGAAGGTTTCCTCTCAGAATCCTACTCAAGACACTGGTAATCATGTTGCTTTCCTTTCTCAATCATCTCTTGGACCCTGGATAATAGACTCAGTGCTATTCATCACCTTTGTGGTAATAAGGATCTTTTCACTTCACTTTCTTATTCTAATAATTTACCCTCTGTTACTCTTCCTGATGGCACTATTGATCGCCTCAAAGCTCGTTTGGTGGCCAAAGGATACACTCACATATTTGGTCTTGACTATGGGGATACTTTTTCTCCTGTTGCCAAGATGGCATCTGTTCGCCTATTTCTTGCACTTGCTGCCATTCATCACTGGCCCCTTCTACAGCTTGATATCAAAAATGTTTTCTTACATGGTGACTTGCAAGAGGAAGTATATATGGAGCAACCACCAAGTTTTGTTGCTCAAGGGGAGAATTTTGGAATGGTATGTAAGCTTCGTAAATCTTTATATGGCCTGAAGCAGTCTCCTCGGGCTTGGTTTAGTCGCTTTAGTTCTGTTGTTCAATCCTTTGGCTTAACCAGAAGTAAAGCCGATCATTCTGTCTTCTATAGGCATAGCTCTTCTGGTCAGTGCATCTATCTTCTAGTCTATGTTGATGACATCATTATTACTGGCAGCGATCAAGTTGGGATTGATCAGTTAAAGAAATACTTATTCAATCAGTTTCAGACCAAAGATCTTGGCAGACTTCGATATTTCTTAGGGATCGAAGTGGCACAATCTAGGCAGGGCATTTCCATTTGTCAGAGGAAGTATGCATTGGATATCTTAGATGAGACTGGTATGTTGGGATCTAAACCTATTGATACACCTATGGATCCTAATGTCAAGCTGTTACCCGGACAGGGGGAGCCATTGGCGACCCTGGTCGTTATCGCCGGTTAGTTGGAAAGTTGAACTATCTTACTGTGACAAGACCAGACATCTCTTTTGCAGTTAGTGTGGCAAGTCAATTCCTTGACTCTCCTTGTGACTCCCATTGGGATGCAGTTATCAGGATTCTTCGATATATCAAAAGAGCACCAGGAAGAGGTTTATTATACACAAATAAAGGGAATGCTAAGGTATCTAGCTATTCAGATGCTGACTGGGCAGGTTCTCCTTCAGACAGACGATCCACCTCGGGGTATTGTGTTCTCCTTGGAGGAAACTTGATCTCTTGGAAGAGTAAGAAATAAACTGTTGTCGCAAGGTCAAGTGCAGAGGCAGAATATCGGGCAATGGGAAATGCAACCTGTGAGCTCATCTGGCTAAAACAATTGCTTAAGGAGCTACATCTCTGTGAACAGCAGCCCATGAAGCTCATCTGTGACAATCAAGCAACATTGCATATATCTTCTAATCCAGTCTTTCATGAGAGGACCAAACATATAGAAATTGATTGTCACTTTGTTAGAGAGAAGATTCAGTCAGGAGAGATCGAGACAGCATTTGTTAATTCCAGTGATCAACTTGCAGATGTTTTCACCAAGGCTCTTAGAGGTCCCCGAATAGATCATATATGTAACAAGCTGGGAGCTTATGATATATACGTACCAGCTTGAGGGGGAGTATTAGAAATATTAGAATAGGAAATATTAGATATGATTAGACTTGATTAGATTTGAATAAATTACTTCCTATCTGTTAATATTCTGGGCGTCTTACTTAAGCCCATTAGGGTCTCTATATATTGTAACTCTTTGTATTAGGTTATTACACAATTGAATACAATATACAGATTCTTATTCTCAAGTCATTGTATTATTTGTTTACTTTGACAAACCATCAAATTTCAAATGTGTAACAGAAAACAATCTTACAATCTTGGCTATGCTTTCTGCTTTTTGGATATGAGTATTCCTGCTAGCTTTTGGGCCTTGTTGGATCGGAACATCTCGCTAGTTTGTCCAAGAGAATCAACTCATGAACTCTATTTATGTCTTATCATTGGTCTTCTATTAATCAATATGTTTGTTAGTAGTAGCTTCCCTTCGTAGATGTCCTGTCCAGTTGTTTGTGACAGAGGCAGACTCCCTTATGTGCTCAAGCTGCCTTGGCTGTATATAATATATATTATTGTATTGCTTATGCAATGTGATGTAGATATCTATTACTGAAGTTAAATAATCTGCTTGCATTCTTCGGTAGGCAATTTTTATCGAAATTTAAAAGTGGCTGCTACACCAAGGACACGATATATTATGTTTAGAATGGAATTGAGATTGGGCTTTATGTTTTTTCTTTTTCTTTTTTCCTTTTCCAAAGTTAGAAAATTTTAGTTCATGTTTTAATGTTGTCTAACAGGTAACAAATTGGACTTAATGGAGCGCATCTTCCGTACTACATGCGCATCAATCACTGGGAGTGAGTATGTATTTACACTATGTATTACCAGTAGTATATATTGTAAAATATAAAAGTTATTTTTTTTTTCTCTCTCCAGTACAATAACAGCTGACGTGGCGCGTTGCTACTGGTACATTGTATATACACCTGTAGTACCCTAGATTTTTTCGACTTATAACTAATGAAAATGAATAATATTGGGCTAGTATCACAATAATGGCCCAAAGAGAGTAGGATGGTGTGAAAATTGTAATGTGGTAATTGTGCTAACAATTTTGCATGTGCTTCAGGTTAGTTTGGTCACGTGCTGAGCATTTTGGAAGTTGGAAGTCAACTCTAAAGAAGGCCCCACGTGTGGGAATGTGCTAAAAACCGTTAAAAAGGGTTGACAACATAGGAATGAGAGGAGGAAAATATAATATAGATGTTAAGCTAGTTAGTGGGATCTCTTTAGTTTTTCTGATTTCAAGAATTGTATTTTGAATACTTGAACAATCCTGAAGAGAAGAGAACGAATCTTGCAGTGTGCTGCAGAATCCTTCTGTTCTCACTTCATCATTTCAGAGTTTGTAGCTTTCATTTGAACAACTTGGTTAGAAGTTCTGTTCTATAATGCTTGGATAATTTCTGTTGTTGAAGTTAGACAACGTTTCGATTCAGTTTATGCAATTTCTTTAATTCGCAAATTAATATGTCAGCTTAATTTTGTGTGATTGGATTTGGTATGGATTGATATAATCACTGGTTTTTTTTTTTTTTTTTTTTTTTTTTTTTTCTTCTGTTGCTTCCACTTTCTCTCTCTTCTATGCTTGTGTTTGCGGGACAAAATTTTTTGCTCCTATGACATGATGGTTATATAACCTACATTATATACTAGATTTAAGGAGATGTCGCTGATTCTGACCAATTATAAACACCAAATAGGAGTCCTATCAATTTCAAAGATTTATTTATGAGAAAAATATTTCTCCACTTAGCGCAGATAAGTTATTTGTTTTTATTATTAAAATGACGTAGTTTTGGTGTTGAAATATTAAAAATTATAATTATAAAAACTATTATAATCCTGAAATAAAATTATAAAAATTTGTTGATTTTCGCTCCAAAACGATGTCGTTTTGGACTCAATACAGATAACTTATCTGCATTAACTGCATAAAAAATGAACCATTTATTTATTGCCAAAGATAATAAGGAAACAAATAAGCTTTAACTCGTTAACATATGGGCAGCTTGAAAAATGAAAATATTGAATCTGATATTTTCCCATGAGGTTGACATTAGGGGTGTTCGCAGTTTGGATTGGATCGGTTTTGGAAGCAAAAATCATCTGATCCTATCCCTTCGATTTGATCATGTAGTCATCCAATCCAAATTTTTTCGGTTTGAATTGGATCGATTTTCGGTTTTTTTGAAAATCCTAAAATTTGTTTCATGATTATTGTGCAAATAAATTTTTTTGTATATATTATTAACTTCGTAATTTTTTTTTTAAAATACAAAAGCATCAGTAAACGATAATATAGGTTTTTTTTTTGCAATAAGATATGAAGCTGTACACAAATGAAATTTTGTTAATGAGATGTGACTAGGTTTTTTCTTCTTTGATTTAGTTGATGAGTTAATGGATATTGGGTTTAGAAATTTTTGGACTATGATTGAGGAAAGATCCAAGTAGGTAGAGGAAAATTAATATATTAGATCGGTTTGGATTGGATCGATTTTTATCAATCAATCCGAAAACTGATCCAATCCAATTAAAATTTGTGATTTTTTTTTTTTTTTTCGATTTTTCGGTTTAGTTACCGCGGTTTAAATCGATTTGGATCGGTTGATAAACACCCCTAGTTGACATTGATTTGGTGTGTCCAAATCTTCTGTTTTAGCTGACACATTTGCTAGTCGTATTCATAATTTTCATGTAAACATTAGGTGCAGGTTAGTTGGAATTATGAACATTTTTTGCATCTTTTTGTAAGGATTATACTTCTTTCGTCAATATCTAAATTAAGATCTTCATGCACACAACACATCACATAATTATTGATGCATTTCTTTATGTTGAAAATTCATATTTGTTTACCGGTAAAGTGTGTATCATTTTAAAGGATGTAAAGTTGTGTCATTTTAAAAGAGAGAAAAAGATAGATAAAGGAAGAGAGAGAGTTGACAAAAAAATAAAGGTATGGGTCACACCTCTTTTTGAGAGTGAAAGGATATAAATTGTGTCATTTAAAAGAATAAACACTTTTTTCTTTGTTTATTGTACCAAATTTTATGTACTTAGTGTATATAATTAATAATTTTATTACTAATATTTTTAATTGTTAAATATGTATTGATTTAAAAATAATTCACAAGATACATCCATAACAAAAGGAGGGGTCAGTTGAGCCGTGACATACCATAATATTTTCTTTAAAGTCATTTCGACTGTGACCATCTAGTAATTCAAACTTCGCTTTTGAATAATAATAATAAAAGTAATAACAATAATGCTAATAATAAATAAATATTTTTTTAAGATTAAAATTGTCAATTTTTGGTTTAATTTAGTGAATAAAGCATTAAATTCTATTTTTTGTTAATTGAAAGGAATGATGTAACCATGACGACTTGTTAACTCCATGTCTTTTGTCTAGGATTATTTTAACTAGGATAACTTGATGATCCAAAACTATCCAAATTCATCATAAATTCATAATGATTAAAGATGATAATATTGAGATTATTTTTAGAGGGGAAATGTGAATCATGATGGCGTGTTAACCATGTATTTTTGTTTGGGTCATTTTAGCTAAAGATGATCCAAAGTTTGTTTAAATTTATCATAAATTTTGTATGATATAATAAGTTAAAATTAATTTATTTAAGAATAAGTAATTTTGCTGTAATGATAAGTTAAAGTTTTGTATGATATAATAAGTTAAACTTTGTTTAATGACTTGTTGATGCTACCATTTTTGTTAGAGTCATTTTAACCGTAACAACTTATTAACCGTGTGATTTTTTTCATTTGGAATCATTTTAACTGCAACACCTTGATAATTTAGAATATCCAAATTCAATCAACCTTTTAAAATAGAATTGTATTTTTAGAAAGATTTAATTTAACTAACTCTCAAACTTTTTTAAACTTTGAATTTCTCATTACATCAGGGAATATTTTGAAATGAAAATTTTCCATTAAACAAAAAAAAAATATTATATAATTTTTTTCCTGTAAATAATCTTGTATTCATATTTTTTAGTTAAATAAATGTTTTAAAAATATTAACAGTTTATATAACTAATTTGAAGTAACCATTTTTTAAAATGGACATGTTAAAAATACGATAAGATTAAGTTTTCACACTTTTCTCTGCATAATCAAATATTCGAACCCTAATTTTAAATTCAAAGACTAGTTTGCTAAATAAAAAAGATTTTTTAATTTTTTACAAATTAAATAAAATTAACGATGACTTTATATTTTTATTTCTGAATAAATTTTGAGTCATTATATCACGAAATTTGATGTTGTGCCCGATTATCGTGTAGGGTAACAGAGGAGAGGGTCAAGTACTTCCCCACTAGCAACAAATTTTGTTAAAGAGAAGACAACAATCCATGTTAACGATGCCAGAGGTCAAACAACCCCGTTTTAAAAAATAATTTTCAATCAACAAAGCCCGACACAATTAGTAGGTGATTGGGTCCCTTAAACATATTAATAGAGATTTGATATCTGGTCATGTGTATGAAAAATACTTTGTTGTAGAGGTAAAACTCATTTCGGTGATCTCTATATCTCGAAATGATTAGTCTTCAACTAGCGACTGATGGATATCCTGAGGAAACTCAAAAAAATTCCATTTTAATATATATATATATATATATATATATATATAGATTTTATTAATCTCATGTTAAAGGAGATAAGTTATCTCATGTCATAGAGATAAACATGTGGGCTCCACCACCTGAAAAATAAAAATAAAATAAAAGAAAAAAAGGTGGCACAGTTATCGAAGGATGTGTAGGAGAGAAATTTACCACAAGTAGCATAAGAGTAGTTTTCCCTTATATATATATATATATATATATATATATATATATATATATATATAGGGAAAAATATTTCTCAAGCAACTTGAGATAAGTTTATCTCCGGCCACCCCAAAATTACGTCGTTTTATTTATTTATTTCCTTATATTAGTTGATTCACCTTTGAATGATTATGATTCCTTTTTTTCTCTCTTTCTTTATCACCATTGATCAATCTTTGTACGGTTATGATTTAGTAGCTGGAGATAAAATTATCTCAAGCAGTTTGAGAAACGTTAAGCCTATATATATATATATATATATATATATATATATATATATATATATATATATATATATAGGGTTTTATTATTCTCCTTCAACATAAGATAGGTATCTTATGTTGTAGAGATAAAATGGGTGGGTCCCACCATTACAAGAAAAAAGAAAAAAAAGAAAAAGATGAGGTGCGGAAATTGAAGTGAGAGAGTAGGAGAGAAGTAATCTTATGCAAAAGGAGAGTAATATTTCCCATATATATATATATATATATATATATATATATAGACAAGATCCTTTGACATCGTTGTTAAACACAAATCCTAACCGTTATTTTCGCTAATTAACGATTATCATTTATTGGGAATTAAACTTATTAATTAATTATTAATTATCAATAAATGATAACCGTTGATTGACGGAAATCAATGATTAGGATTTGATGCCAAATTTAAAAGTTTGACATCGGTGTCAAAAAATCATGTCCCATATATATATATGGTAGGATATTGTAACAACCAATTAAGGTTACTACCAATCAATTTCACCGTTAGATCGATTATGTTGATCCAATAGTTATATTTATTTCCATCTTTGTATGGTTATGATTTCCCATATTTAATACTTTATATTTATTTTCACCTTTGTATGGTTATGATTTCCTATATATTTAATGCTTTCACATTAAATATGGAGAATCGTAACCATATAAATATGGAAATAAATATAATCGATCTAATGGTGAAATTTATTGGTAATAATATTAGTAGTAACCCTAATTAGTTGTTATAATATCCTATCCCTATATATATATATATATATATATATAATTGTCTATCGAAAGTCATGATGCACCGACACTAACAAGGGACACAACACAACACGATAGTCGGCACGTTTATTTCGACACGTTTTGATATTAAATAATATTTTTAATATATATAATATAATTTATATGTTTACATATAACAGCCTATAATAAGTCATATAAACAAAAATAATTTTTCGTACCTTGTTAATTTTTTATGTCAAATTTCATAACAGAAAAAATTGATTTATCAAATATTTTTTTTATGTTTAGTTAATAAAACAAAATTTAGACAAAAAAAAACGTGTCAGAATATTGATCGCGTGGCGAAAAAAGTCGACTTGCGTGTCAGAATCGGAGCGTTGATCGCGTGTCCTAAAATACTGATAGCATATCGAAACGTGTCAAAGCATGTCGATATTCAACCCATATTTATTTGAAATATTCACGTGTCCGTGCATCCTTATTTGGGAGAGGGTCAAGTACTTTCCTTTTAG